TTGATATGTACCAGGGAATGAAATTGGTGGATCATGTTTAATTCTGCTTACATATCTGAGGAATTCCCACTGTTTTCCAAAGCAGTCACACTATTTTACATTCACAGCAGCAAAGTATGAAGATTCTGATTTCCCCTCATCCTTTGTAATACTTGTAATCTCATTATGTTGATTCTAGTCATCCTAGGAGGTTGTGAAGTGGGATCTCAGTGTGGCTTTCATTGCAATTATATCTGAAGACTAATGATGTCAAGCAAATTTTTCATGTGCTTTTTGGTCAATTTTATGCCTTCTTTGGAGGAATGAGTATTCAAAGTCTTTGTGCACTTTAAAAAATGGGTTGTCTTTCATTATTGAGAGTGTACATTCTAGACACAATTCCCTTATCAGATATGTAGTTTGCCAGTATTCTCTCCCTTTCTGTGGATTGTCTTTTCAATTTCTTTTTTCTTAAATATTTTTTTAGTTGTAGTTGGACTCAGTATCTTTATTTATTTATTTTTATATGGTGCTGTGGATCAAACATGTGCTAGGTGAGCACTCTACCGCTAAGCCACAACTCCAGTCCTCTCTTCAATTTCTTGACAGTCTTTTGAAGCACAAAACTTTTTAATTTTGGTGATATACAATTTATCTCTTGTTGTTGCTTGTGCTTTTGGTATCCTATCTAAGAATGTTTTGCCAAACCCAAAGTCATAAGGTTTTATCCTTGTGTTTTCTTCTAGAAGTTTTAGTTTTAGTTCTTATTTTTAGGTATTTGATACATTTTGAGTTAATTTTTGTAAATGGTGTAAGGACAAAACTTTGTTTTTTACATATGACTATTTACTCAGCACCATTTGTGAGAAAGTCATTCTTTTTCCACTGAATGGTCTTGGCACCCTTGACAAAAATCATTTGACTGCAGATAAAGTTTTACTTCTGGACTCAATTCTATTCCATTGATCTGAAGTGTCTGTTCTTGTGCCAGTACCACACAGTTTAATCATTGCTTTGTACTGTTTTGAAAGTGAAAAATGAGCCCGCCTACTTTATTCT